GAAGAACAGCATAAAACAAAAGAAGAAACGAAAAAAAAACAGAAAAAAATGTAATCGTGCCATCACGAGCCAAGGATTCATTTCACTCTTTATTCACGTACAATATATATATATATATGTGTGTGTGTGTGTTACATGCTGTTACAAAACGCGAGCGATGCGATCTCCGATAAACGAAACCGCCGGCTACATCAGCAATGAGAAAAATACTTGATCTATATACGGTTACACGTTCCGTTGCGCTGCTTATCAATGCCGAAAAAGGGAGCACAGGTGGAGATCACATATGTATCACATTCACAAGGACGATGGGTGGGTTAGAGGGTGAGTTGAAACGAGAATGTCATCTGGTCCATTCACCACGGAACAATGCGAGAAGAAACATGGAGATCATCGACTTGCATGACATATACATAAATCGCGTTAAAAAAATATTTCCCCATCTTTTCCTCAACTTTCACAGTGTCCATTCAAACTTTATATTAACCCTTAGCACTCCAGTCGATTTTATAACCTACCAGCACCTCTAAGACATTTTCATAGTAACCCTAGTGAAAATAAAAGATTTCGTAACATGTCTTAAATTTTTTATTCTGATCGTTAAGACCAGTTGCACGCGTAACAAATGCAATAATCCTAGGGTAATTTCTTCAACTCTTTCGTATTAAAATATTTAATACTATACGTGCCTCAGCGTATCCTACAGAGTGCAAAGGGTTAAAACAGTTGATGTGTACAAAATTGAAAAGAATATTCCAAACTGTAGATAATAGAGCAAATGAAATAATAATAGAATAAAACAAGATATTGATTTCACGATTGGTTAAACCTTTGTGGGATAGGGTGCGGGTGAGGGGTCGCGAGTTGAAATGAGAATGTCACCTGGTCCATTCACCACGCAACAATGCGAGAAGAAACGGAAAGCTGTCTCTGTTATCAGTCTTTGTCACGTCCTCTACAAGCGAAGCTGGTGAAGGGATGTGCATCGAGGATTCAGTCCAAGTGCAAAGGGTTAAATCCTATATTTTCCATTCAGCCGAAATGACGAGGCTATCCGTACCGACGCTCATTTGCCTGGCGTTGCCAGCCCTGGCCTGCTCGACCAGCTCCTTGTACACTGCGTCCAAGGGGTGCTCCCAGGTGGTGGTTCCGGTGGACGTCTGATAATAATACCAGGCGCCGGTCGCCTCGTGGTAGCATGGCCGCCAACCCTTCGGCAGGGCCGCCATGAGGCCCTCCCGGGCCAAGTCCATGAGGTGCGGCTCCGCATCGGGGTCGATTCCCAAGCGCCTCGCATACTCAAGCACCTCTGAAAAACCAATCGACCGCTCCATTAGTTAATTAGAAGCTGGATGCTCTTACCCGGTGACCCCGGTACCGGCTCTGTCATCGGTGGAACTTAATTGGCGGATGGTTCATCGGTGGCACGTAATTAAAAGCGACAGTGTTTTTCGAAGAATTTTTCAAAGGGGGGTTTTTAATCTTCGTTTTATTTGTTAATAGACTGTGGACGTTGGTGGGAGTTTTAGGCCATAGAAACAAGGTTTTGAAGAAGTGTATTTAGATATAAGGTTTTTTTTTAGAATGGATGTCGGTATATTTGGGTAAATGTGAAAGTAGAAAGTAGAAGGTATTGTGACAGTGAAAGTTAACTGTCGGATGGTTTATCGCTAAAATGTAATTGAAAGTAATTGAAAATGTTTTTTCAAAACTTTTCTAAACAAATATTGTTAATCTTTGTTTTATTTATTAGTAGGCCAGACGTTGACAGAAATGTTAAATCCCAGACGCGAACTTTTGCAGAATTATATTACATATTTCTTTCTATTATAATGGATGTCGATATATTTGGGTAAATATGAAATTAAGAGATAGAAGTAAATTAGAATTGATCATAAAGATCTCGTCGAAATATATTTTACTGTATATTGTTGAATTAAGCGTGTTGCACGTGAATGAAAGTTCATAGTGTAATTATCAATAATAAGGATTAAATTCTTTTACAGATAAGATAAGAGAATAATTGTGCCAATTAGTATCAGGATTAATCACTTCATTTACCCAAGGTTTAGAAGCTCGTGCACCTGCATTTTACAGCTTGCAAGATTGATATACATAAAGTAGAGCCAGTCAGAACATTAAAGCGAGGATGATCATTTCTTTCTCGATTCCGCAGGGACACAGCGCGAGCTTCCATCGTGGAAACTCACCCGCCTGAAAACAGACAGCTTTCGCTGGATACGCGTGCACCGCGAGCTTTATAAAGCTTCTAAAGAGGTCAAGGATGTCCGTGAAATAAAGAAATTCTCGACGTGTTACGCCGGCATTGTTCGAGTCCTGGAATCTTTGTTCCATAGAAGAGGACAGGGAAAAAAGAACGGAGATGGAATTCAACCGCGGTCCCGTTATAAGGGTGGAATTTTTAAATTGTTCGATACTATAAATACTCGTGCCGATGAGTAACGCGAGAAAGTATTATTAAACTCTTGGAACAAGTGATTTCAAGGTTCTCGGGTCGGTCGTGCGCGGCTTATAACGACGCCTATCGATTATAGTCCAGGTGGAGGGTACACGTGGCAACGCGGAACTGTTGTTCCGGAAGAAAGGGGGCGTCAAGATGTCTTCACGGGCTACGCGCATCGTTACCTGTCGAGGAAATTGCGTAACGCTTGCCAGAAAATGGGAAATACATGTTACGCCATTTACGAGGGAGGATTACAATAAATTATACTGTTGAACCCTTGTCACTTTTTTGTAAGGCAGTGTTACAAAGAAATGGAAAATTTCTTCTACCATTATGACAGTATACAACTTTTAATAATACATTACAATGAATTTACTTTATTAAAGAGATAAAGGAGAGATATAAAAATCTTGGCTCATTAAATTTAATTTATATTTACAGTATATATATATATACCTCTTGCAAAAATAGTTCGCAGTACCTATTATAATCTGCACACCATTGGGTATAAAAATACGATTTCAGTAGAGAACTATTTTTATTGCTATAAAGAATATTATAAAAAAAGGGGGTAAACTTATCATCTCGTCCACATATAATATTCCAGTCCCCCGTTTTCCAACAGCTCGTCACGGGAAACCCAACTAAATCCTGCATTAATGACAGGCGCCTATTATATCCGCACGGTTTAATTCAATACAACGTTCATCGACCTCCTTTCGTGCTTAATTAATTCCCCGGTAACGCGCCACTTGGACGTGCTTACCAGACGCGACATATTTGAAAATTACTCTATCCAAAGAATCGCGGAAGGTCCGCTCGCCGATGCCAGATAAAGTATCAATCCATCGCGAGCCGTTGATCTTGCCCGGTTCCATTCAGCTAAATACCGTCGAACATGATTAACAAGAGCCCGAGAACTTGTTACGTCGCGTCGCTCGCTGACGTTTCACACGCTCGTTATAAATAATTCATCGGGGCCCGGGTTCAGACGTGCACTTTGCTCGACGAGCGTCTCCTGTGTTTACCCGAACCGTCTGAACGAAAAAAAGAGTAATAGAGTGGGAAAGGGAAAATAAGCAAGCCGACTCCTCGGAGACTCAGATTATAATGATCGGCGTCCTTTTTACTAAGGAAATATTAGTGCTCAAGAAGTGACTCTGTTTTTTCTGAAGTTCGACATTAAATATTAAATTTTGTATAATAAAATGGTACATGATACATTGAAATGAGATAATTAAAATTAACTTTAATTTATCTGTGATTTCTTTTAATGTTAGACATAACAATTGTCATCGATGTGTTATCAATTGAAAAACATTTATAACGAACAAACTTTCGAGTGCAATGGGTCCAAACCCTTACCTTATAATTTCATTCACAGCTATACTTTCCACAGCAATTTTATCGTTAACAGTTCGCTAAGAAGAAAGTAATCATTTCGTGTTTCTCAAATATCTTCATTTATTCCAAAGATTAACAACTGACGATATAAAAGTATCGTTCCACTTCAATTCAAACGTATACAATGACATTTACATCCACCAATTCCCGTTCGAAATGTTCGTCACGACATTCCAAGACAAAGAGTTAATTCTTAAAATCAAACTTCGAAAACTCCCGCGATAAAGCGTCGCCGGAAGCGTTGGCAGCGTTCGCTGGTTTTGGCGTATAATTAGCCGCGAAGTCGTTGCGCGACGATTCTTCTTCATTCATCGTGCGCCAACGCTGTGAATACTTAACGCCCGCCTCTCTTTGCCGAGCTGAGGACGCAGACAGCAACGACAGCGCTGCAAATAGGGGAGGAGGGCCGGTTTAAAAATTCCATCATGGAAGTCTTTGACAGGTGGCTACCCCGGGTTGCATGGGGGTAAACCGCCACAACATCTGTCTTCCGTGCGGCGGTGAAATTTTTGTTGGGTTTTGGACGCCTTACAATCGACATTTCTTGAGTTTTTATAAGGATGTCTTCGTGTGGTCATCGAAGGGGATGCATTTGGGAATCGATTTTTTATGCACAGGACTGCGTATCCTGCGGAATTCAGTCACTGGCACGACCCCCGAAGGGGGAGGGCTAGCGAGGCTTATGACAAAACTTTCGCCGCACTGCGGATCCTATTGATTTTCCTCGGAACGCCAGGCTGCGAGCTCACTGCTCCCGTCCGGACGCGGTGTAAATAAACAAGAAAACTCACCACCGAAACCGTTCAACCCTGTGCCGTTTAATTTATGACCTCTCTCTCGCGTCTCAACTCTTTGCCGTTTAATTGCTGCACCGCGTTGCCCCCTTCGCTGATCCCTAATTAACATACGAAGGAGGAGTGTCGCGCTGCAGTGTTCCTTCGAAGCTGTTTTTCCTTTCGTTGAGTTTATTTTGAATTCTCGTTGGATCATAATTAAACAGTAACTTACTTGAATAATTATATGTGCGACTTTACGAAGTTTTCAGAGGTTCTCTGAAGTTACGAAGTGTATGACGTGAATATTCTATTGTTTCCAGGAATGTTAATGTGATTTGCTTTTGACGTTGACGCTAACCTGACTCTTAGGTAATTTTGATCTATACAGAACGTTAATATTGTTTATATTATTGAAACAATTATGGTGAAATCTATAATAACTGATTTCTAGTTTGGGGTAATGTCCCATCTGAATAGAAATATTCGAAAGAAATCAATCCTAATTACCTGATCATCAAAACAAGACGATTACCAAAATACTCCCAAAACCGTCATTCCTACGTAACGTCCAACAAAGCGTACGACAACTGGCAAAACCACCCTCGCCATGAAACGCCAGTCGGTCTGTTCGCACGTAAACGTCAGTTTCCATTGCGCAACCTGGCATTCCGCAATATTTCGCATTTACCGTCTTCGAACTGTGTCAAGTCTCATCAAACATAGCTCCGTTCACTCTAAGCAATTAACTCCCAATTAAAATCAACAATAACATGCAACTACCCCAAACACACCATCCATAGAGCTGTCAACCAAAAGATCCACGTAAAAGGATCACAACGCGCAACAACAGGACACAGGAGTTGCTTGGTCAAGGCCGCGACCCCAGTAATCGTCTAAAAGAATTAAGGAACCAGGAAGGAAGCCGGAAGTGGGGCTAACGGTCGGTGGCGAGCGAAGAAACCAACCCCCGTGCTACATCGATCGCTGCCAGAGGTGGCGAGGCAGCCTAGGGTTGCCAGTTCAGCTGTTAGTCGTATTTTCAAATGTCCAATTCTAACAAATACCTCGCTTGATCCCCTACTTCGACGAATCTCACTCGTGATCACAATTTCAGAGCAAACACGAGTGTTTACTAGTGAGACTCGAGGTCAGAATTTCAGGTTAAACGTAAGCATTGCGAGTGAGACAGCCGTTATAATTATGGCCCAGATTTAGCTCGGCTAAATGGCAGTCTAAGGGGTTAAAATCCTTTTTCCACGTACCTTCGTCTGACGGATGCGAAGTCGCATCGAAGACCTCCCTACAGACGATCGTGGCGGCGCTGTCCTGGGAAATGCTCATACTAGCGCTGACGAGAGGAACAGGCCGGGTCCCGGTCGCAGGACGTTCACATAACGCGGTTCACCATAACGCGGCGACACATGACAGCGTCGCGTCGCATTGGCCGTCGCCCGTCGTTAATCCCGTCACGGCGGACACGCGTGCACGCGAGAGAGTTTTCGCCCCGGCGACGAGGCCCGTCCAACGACGGTCAATGTTGAATCCGACTTGAAAGTAAGCGGCGGAAGGAGCGGCGGCCGCGACAGAGACGGAGCGAGGGAGGCCGTGCCAGCGCCCCCGGTGGCGTGACCCCGTACTAGACCAATGATAAGGAGAACGAACCGCCGCACGGCCGCCGGCAACTGTCTTATCGATTAATCGGAGACCGCGCGGGAAATGCGCGGGATTGTTTTTATTTTCTGCGGGATTTCGCGGGATTTTTGTTTGCCGAGACCGCGGTGGGGGCTGGGTTGTACCCCTAATTAGGATTGAGCGGGAGGAATCGTGTAGTTTTAGTCCGGATGTGGGGTAGTAGTGGTGAAAATGGTTCATAGAGATAAGGAATGTTTGGAGACTTTTTTCATTGATAATAATTGATAATAATTGACAATAATTGGTAATGATTGATAATGATCAGGTGTAAAGTAAGGGTAAATAGTATGACAATAATGTTTAAAGTGATACTTTGGTTGTGTTGATTTGTAATGGTTTTTTATGGAGAGAAATTTGATTGATATCATTTTTGCAGATGTAAAGAAAATTTGCGGGAAATGCGTAATGTATAATGATACGATATTTGATTTAGATGCATGGAAGTAGAAGATGATGAGACACCATTGCATTTAATGGGATTTTCTATATAAGTTTGAAGTTTTGGTCTGATAAAAGTGAAAGATGTGCTCTTTATTCTTTTTTTGTGAAGTGTAAGTTATTACTTTTAAATACAATATAATTATTCTGTTGTAATTACGATTGGAATGCTCGCCACATTTTCTTCTTGAGAAGACAGTATTTTGTCGCATTGCAGTCGGTAGAGTACCGAGAATATTTACATGTTTTACGTAAAATGTAACATTGATGCATATTTATGATAAATGAATAGTGCATCAGAGTAATTCTACAAATTCAATGGATCGTTATAATATTACAGTTTGTAACGGGGAAGTACCGACTAACAGTCATAGTAATATCTTTCTTCAGGGCGTAAAAAATATAGTTATCATTATATTAAGATTATAGGTACTTAAATATTCTGGTATATAAATTTAATCATCGTACAAATGACTTTTGCAGTCATTTGAATGATCATTTTCATGAGTGAAGAATTGTATATTATCGCATATCGTCAAAGAAGGAATCACTACTACTATAAACTATTAGAAAGATAAGTATGTACTCCGAAATGCATTTAATTCTTTAAAAAAGCAGAAAAAATTGTAATTAAAAATCTGAGTAACTGAATTTAAATTAAATAAATATAATCACTCTGTTAAAAGTTTTATCCGTTAGGCTAGTGAAGTCCAGTTCGATTGCAGCGCCATTTCAACTGATTCAGAATCATGCTGTGATATTTTCCCCGGAAAGACTGCAGTTAACTGTATTATCAACAGTTCTAGGGAATTCAACTCGGAGGGTGAAGAAGATTTTCCTAGTTCACGTAGCAAAACAACTTTATTAGAAAATTTCTAAGAAAAAATGTATATTAAATAGAAAATTTTGAGAAACATTGAGAATTCTATAAGAATGTTAACATTTCATGAATATTAAATGTCAAATCAGTGAAAATGGACTCTGTACATTTACCAATCCCCAGCAGAGATGGCGCCAATATGTGCACAATCATCCTACGAAATTAATTTCGTTTGCAATAAACTACTAGCATCCTCTATAAATTATTTTATTACTAAATACAGAAATGATGTAAATTACTGTACCAAGTAATCACCTTCATTCAATGAAATTTAATATTCACTGCTTTAAAACGTTCAATTATTTAGATGTATTCAGTTCACGGCGAAAATGACTGAAGCATTTTGCACCGCATGATGTAAATTAGTTTGTATTCATACCGAAGCTTATCTACTGGAAACATTATAGTGAAATTATATTTTCATATTCAAAGAATCTAATACATTTTAATTGAGGAAGTCGTGGAATACTACACACGCAACACGATACAAAATTCTATCCCTTAAATATCCTTCAAATCAAAATAGAATTAAAAGAATTTTCCATAAATTACTCCTTCAGATTCCCTTATATTTCTTTTGAGACGAATTAAACACTCTTCTCTTAACCTTCCTCTCTAATGAAATAAACAAAATAAAACAAATATTAAACTTTAAAAACCATGAACTTTCCATCCACAAAACAATAAAGAAACTCTTATAAAATTATCAATTCCCATTAACCAGGCAAAATAAAATCAAACAAGTCATCAGTAAATCTACACATTATCCTCAAAAAGCTGCTTCAACATTCTCCATTTCACTGTCGAATACTTTATCAACCCCACATCAGACCCAACCGGTCGGGAGCGTCACGGTATAAAATAACAGTGTGAATTTTCTAAGGCGCAGATCGTTTCCGGAAATCCTGACGAGTGGTTCCGATGCGACGAAAACGGAACGGTTCGCCGGTGGGATTTGTATTTACAAAAAAACCCGGCTCCCCTGGGCGGCGCGGTACCAGTTACCGGTCGCGATCCCACCGATACACCGGGAATAATGATCGTGGCATCGATTGGGACATTTAAATTTCACGCTCTATAGAAAACAACGAGAGGACCGCCGAATAACGGTGTTAACGTTAACGACGCCAGGATCCCGGGAGCCGTTTCGTCGAACGCGAAAATTAAATGATAATGATATCCTACGCCGACGCCCCGCGAAATACTTGCGGCCTCGGAGCCCGGAACATTTATTTCCCTCACCCTCTCTCATCCCTCACTCTTTCTTTCTCTTTTCCTCTCGTTCTCATCATCGTCGCTTCTTTTTCTCTCTTCCACAACATCCCTGTTCTCCCATCGTTCCTAGGGACCGTGCGTTTTTTGTTCTGTAAAAATCCTCGTTAACTCGAATCACGATTCCCGCGTATTATACGAGGTTGTACGGTGCCGGCTTTCCACCTTTTTCCCCGGCAGCTAAATAAATCGTTAGAGGTGGCTCGGTGGCCGAGCGCGGGCTAATGGCGCGGCGCTCCACTTATTATTCTTCCTCGTTGTTCCCGACCAGTCGCGAGCTCAATCGACTCTCGAACACGCGGGAACCATCGCCGATGACACCTTAATTGACGGGCTTCCGTGATACTGGGCTTGGAACGCGCGACGATTCGTGCCGTTAGTCGCAGGACAAAATGGCTGAAACATGCGGCACGCGGCGGGGAAATGTTCTTAGCCGCGTGTCGAGATGTTCTTCGGTGAAAACTTGTCGGTAATTGTGTTTCTTTGGGATCGTTCTCTGGAAAATTCTCTGGAAATTGGTTTATGAAAAAGATCCCAGTTGAAATGATGAAGGCACTGAGGGTTTATAAAGATTCTTTTCGGCTCTTTCAGTAAGGTCTATTTTAGTAATTATGTTTATTTTGTGTGAGACGCAGTACTTGAAAATTGTCTTAACGTTATGATTTAAGGAGAAATAAGAAAGTGGAAGATTAATAGTTGGTGGGAGAATTGGGAGTAAATATTTTTATGATGAAAGTGAAAAAGCGTGAATCAGCGCTGCCAAGACTTTTGAAAGTAGCCGAAATTATTTTTTACCTGCTTAAATTGCAAATCTATGTAGCGAAAATTCTAGGGTTTGATTCAAAATAAAATTGAACGAAATTAAAAAGAAAGGACACTAATGATTTCCACGAAGACTATCCACAATTCCTGGTACTAAATTTAACTAAACAACATCAAACTTCTAGAAAATTACTGTGTCCTTAACCAAGTTTGCTTGTATCGGTTCTGCTGTAAAGAAACCATGATTCCTAATCAACATAAATATCTCCAAACGATCGCTACAGAAAGACTATAATGCAAACATCCTCGACAACTAAACATCCCAGCAAAATTAAATCGTCCAAAATATTTTTGACAGAATTTCCCTCACATCCTCTCAACGATGAGAGCAAACATTGTAACAGAAAGATCATTAAAGATCCTTTGGATCGAGCCTCCATGCGTAAGTAAAGTAGAAAAAAAACGATGCATAATGAAACCAGTAGCCGGTCGAAGGCACAGAAAGTCCGTTACGTAGCCATCATGAAAGAACGTAACAACCGAAAAATCACGTACACAAGACTGGAAGAATAAATTCTATTGGTCGTTAGACCCTCGAGTTCGCGCCGGGGGATCCCCTAATCTGACCTAACACCGTAATGTCGTTACCTTGTTAAATAAATGTCACAGCAGGAGGGTCGATAGGGGCAGGGCAGCCGATCTACAAAAGACCAACCCCTAAAAATTGGGCCAACGTCCGCGTCCCTCAAAATGGTGGACCAGACGCACTCGGATACAGACCGAGGAAAGGCACAAAAGGAGTGACGTGCGACTGCAATCTTCCTCGGCAATGGCCGATTGCAACCTAACCCCGCTGACTCGTTTGTCCGAAGTCGAGATAATCGGGTGTTGATGAAGTGCAATTCCCGTTGCAACAGCGTCCATGGCTCTTCGATCCCACGGCTCTTTTTGGAGAACGCTGGTCGACTGGGAAAACCTTTTACGCGAGTAGAATCTTGGTTAAAAGATTCGGGAATAACAGGAGTCCCTTGTTATATTATTGCTCGATGTTTATATTATCATTTTGGTCATTTTGGTCAATGCGAGATGTTGGGGTTAATGAAGAATGAAAACTTAAAGTCTTATTATGAAGGATTTGTCTTTTTAGAAGACTTCGCATGGTTTGAATGTTTGAAGAGTAGAAATAGAGAATACATTAGTGTGTGTACTCTTTTGCAGTTGTGAAATGTTAAATGTTTTATATGAAATGTGTATTTTCTGTTGCTAAAATATGGATCTTTCTTTCTACCTATGGATGACGTAAACGACAAGTGAGATAGAACCGTGAGAAACTGTGATTTTCTTTTTTGTATTTATATATTGTAAGTACAATAGATTTTAGGAGGAGATTTAGTCATTTTTACGACCGAAAGTATTAGGAAACTCAGAGAAAATTCATGCAGGAACTTGAGAGATGATGCAAAAGTACTCACGAAATACGCCATTGCGACGGCAAGCGTTTTCCGCAACTATCTCATCGTGGAAGGTACTTCATATCTGTATAATTATATGAT